AAAACTTTATATTTTTATCTGATATTTTCTCTACCCTAACTTTATACAATGTTGGTCAATTTGACCAACCTAATAATTGTAACATGAAACTACATTCATTTATCCTAAGTAGTTTTAAACTCATAACAGTATACATCTACACATAATTAAATTTTATTGTTTTAATGCCCTTTGAACCTTGTCTAACTACTATTTGCACCATTATAAGTTGTAAATCACTTGGGGAACATGGAGGTCACATTACACTATCAAATTACTTTACCCACGAGTTGCTTGCGTGCATGCCTTGTGAGACATTTTTATAATATTATTATTATTATTTATTTTACCTAATCTAATCTAAAAAGATCCCTAATTTTACATTTTAGTTACTTTTATAATAATAAATAAAGAATAAACATGAAAAACAAGAAATAAAGAACTTACCTAAATCTTCTTTTTTCTTGCTGTCAATTGTCAATGACACTTAACCCTACTTAATAATTTTTATTTAATTAAATAAATAATGCACTAAAAAATATAGACAAATAACATGCAAAAAGTAGACAATTCCCCATAAGCCTCACAATTTTTCTGGCTTTCTAGCTATGCGACAAGAACCGTTACAAATTCATCCAAGCAAGTCATTATCTTTCCAGCCGGGAACAAAGCTCGTAGTAATAGTGAAATTAACAATTCCCTGTTCAGAAAACAACATTATACAATTTCAATGACAAGGAACCCACTTTGAGACTAATAATGCTTGGAGACGGCTTGAATGGGCAATGAAGTAAAACTTTAATATAAGTTTAGCATAACAGCAAATGTACCTGATGATGTCAAAACATTGTACATTTGTGCTATGTTAAACTTATATTAAAGTTTTTCTTCATTACCCATTCAAGCTGTCTCCAAGCATTATTAACTTTATACAATTTGTCATTTGACAGATGAAAATCTTGGCTTTTAATTGGTTATAGATAATATACAATTAAATGTAAGAGAGAACTATTAACAAATTCTGAAAGAGAGGATGTGACAGGTGGGTTGTGCAGAAGGGGTATGATTTTCTATTTGATAGCTGTGTAACCAAACAAAATGGAAGACTATAAAAATTAGGGTTTGTCTGAACAATGACAATTTTAATCAGTAATTTACATTTAATTTCGTACTTGTTGGAAGGGCGGTGGATAAAACAGAAAATGTGTCACATGTGCAATTCAGGATTTTTTAAAATATTGCCATATAAAATTAAGAACGTAACACTTATATACCATTAAAATATGGATTATTAGCTAAGATTTTACGCTATACTAATTGGAATAACATAAACAAAAGGTAGATTAATAAAATTTTGAATGTAAGTCACTAAAGTCTTGTGACATGCACAGTAGAGGATGCCCGTTGTGATAGGGATAAATTTAACCATTAATGTAATACAATAATAAATGTACACTACTGTAACACAGTATCAACACATTCATGAAAACTAAATAAACTGCCTTCAATACTAAAATACATAAGTAGTTACTGTCGAAGCTGGTGTCATAGCTTTGGATACTGTTTGCTGTTTGTATGTATGTGTTATATATACTGAGATAGTCTAGCATATGTACTTTTCAATTGAGAGAGACATTCATCTATTTGTGCTATGCATGGTGCAGATTATGACTTATACTGGACTCTAGACAAATACAACTCTGAAGCACATGGCTTAACTGTCATTTGAAAATAGTCAGATATAATTTCTTGACTTTGAATATGAGTCAGTAAAAATTATTTAATATATTATTTAATTACTGACTGACATGTAGAAAAAAATGAACAAGTTGTGACTCATAATACTTAGAAATGGTTACTTTGTCATTGATTAGTTGATTTTTACAAATGCAATAAATAATTATATGACAAAATTGGCCAAGACAACAAAGGACTTCAGGTACTACAGCTTCCCAGGCGAGTACATCCACGGTTGGTCATTTTAACTTATAAACTATAAAGTATAAGAAAACAGCAATATTTGATCAAAAAGTGTTATACTCTGTTAGATAAAAACCATTCAATGAACAGAAAACTGAACAACAATAATTAGCTATGAAGACAGAGACAAGCTAGGTCATGATGAAATTTTGCCACATGAGACTGACATAACTGACAAAGAGGACCACTCACCAAAATAAAAAGAAGAAAGAGAAGGCTGAGAAAAATAAAAGGTGTAACAAAAAGAAGTGAACTTAACTGGAATAATGGAAAAATGTATTTATGATGAACATAGAAAAGACATAAAAGTGAAGCTTTCCAGATACATTTGTTGAGGAAAGAAAATATAATTAAAACTTTCAGGGTGCAAATCAAGCAGCTAAGATGCACAACAACCAAAGCTTTATCAAGCAAAAAAGCAGCACTAGGTAAAGAAAAAAACAACTTGACATAACTGGCAAAAGTGGAGACCTTAGGAGTGACATGTGTAGGGAGAGACCCTACAGTACAAGTAGATATATATTGAAAATGTTCCTTGATAAATATGTCTCTCTCATGAGCTATGAGAAAGATTATTAATGAATGATGTTACAGCATGGCAGGAAAGCAGAATGAAGAAGATGCAATCAATAATAATTTGAAAGGTTAATCAACCATCTATCTAGAGGCACAATACATAACTAAGATTAGCTTTAATGCCACTACATAGTTTGATATGAGCTTCACCAACCACTTTTAGTACCAGTAGGACTTAACATGGCCAAATGTTTACAGTTTTCTCTCTTTACGTTTCATACCTTGTCCCTAATCGTCTTGTTCGTAATCCTAGGAACACAGATCTTATCAGCTTTCCAAAGGATGCAGCATTAACGGGCTCTAGCTTGTGTTCAGTACAATGTTGTAGGTAGTGGTTATAAAGAGTGCTTCTAGGTAGGCTCACACCTTCTGCTGTTTCATAATTATCTATTAACCACTGAACCTGTTAAAATGGGAATACAATGGTTAGATTTCACATTTAAGCTTTTACTTGAGACAATAATACTTAACTGTCAAAACTTTCTCTGATACTTAAGAAAATTTGTTTAAATATGTAACTTTTAACATTTAAGTTAAATAACTAGTTATACACTATTTTGTATTCTCAGCCTTTGAACTTGTTCATGTAGTTATAAAAGTGAAATCCTATTTCTTTGATATTTAATAACTTACTTTATTTTAAAAGTAGTTCAAATTCTAACAGACAAATTTTATAATTGTTATCATGTTTTGAAAGCTTCTTGGCAAACCTACTTATAAATAAAGCATCAGGTTAATAATGTTCCAATAATACACAAGTCCTATATCATACAAAATTATATGACACTATAGAAAATACAATAATACACAAATGCCTTGACAGTTTTTAAAGAACAAGTTGTATAAGGGAATACTCAAACTGTGAATCTACATAAAGTCTTTTCAAAGTTTACAAACTATAAAATGCATATGGTTGATAAGTTTCCTGTTAGTTTCATTTATGAGTTTACAAGCATAACATTGAGGTAAACTATACTTAACCAGCCAGCAAATTGTACATTGTTCAAGAAAATTAATTTCTAAGAACATAAGTTGAAACTAACAAGAGTTGCTTTTTTCAGCCAAATAACATCTTTATTATAAACAGAAAAATGTACAGCACTTTTCAAACTACACAGTAAACTAAATAAACTTTTGAATCCTTTATATGTTGTGTTACAATAATACAACTGCATAATAATTTTAAAAAATATATGTAAATGATCCCATTAAAAGTGCAAAACAGTTGATCAAAGCTTTCCCCAACATTCATATTTTAAAAGCTGATGATAACTTTATTTTGTTTTCAAATCCTCACACAAGGACAGAAAAAAACATTAATATGCACATACTTTAAATACCCCAAAAACAAATAAAATGTGAGGACCAGAGACAACAGTGGATATCACTGAAACAAAAAAGGTCAAACCATGCAAGAGAAATCTGATAAAATGAGATAATATGAATAGCATGAAAATTTTTAGATAAAATTTATTTCAATCACAAAACAATTAAAATGCAGTGCAAAAAATACATACTGACAAACAAGAACAGAAATAACTCAGAAACTGGAGTGGCTGGTAGAAAAGGAAAATAAGTATATTATGTGAATTAAACCTGTATGGGGGTAAATGCATACTTTATAATGTGCTCATAATACCATGCAGTAAGAAAGATCATGCACACTTGCAAAATGATCAGCATCTGATCCAGATAACTGAAAACAAACCAAATTATCACAACAGATCCTCAAACTTCATGTGATACTAGCAGAGTTAGTTTTTCACTCAGACTATTATCACTTTTGCATTTGTTCTTTCTTAACCATATTCTGTAGGTGCAGGGCCAGGACTCCTGAAAAAAGACCTACATGAATAATATCCATGTCGCGCACACTTTGTTGCTGAGAATGGTGGGTTGACAAAGGTTGAGACTGAGGTTGTTGGGGTTGTAGCTGCAGCTGATTATTGTCAGGGGAACTGTGCAGAGTCTGGATCACACACTGATCATTAGAAAAGGAGGGCATGACCTCTGTAATCTTTTGACAGTCCTCCTGAAAAAAGGGAGTTTTTGTCATTTCTAATAGTTTGAAGATTATAAACTTTGTTTTTTCTCTGTAAAACTATAATACTTATCTACTGATTGAGTAAGATAATGCAGTGAAGAAATCCAATAATAATATTTCTATGCAAGTTATTTTGAATACATTACTTCCCAATAAGGTAAATGCATCACATCACTAATATTTAATTTTTCTTAACTACAATTTCTGATATGGAATTAGTAGGCTTCTAAAAATAGATTTAAATAATTTCTATTGTCCTCACTCAACTGAATTTTTTGTTGCAAAACTGGAAAAGTATTAAATTAATTTTACATCAAAACAAACAGTAAAGTTAATATTTTCGTAAGCTGAAAATGTATATCTAATAAATTCTCACCTCCTAACACAGAATAGCTCCCAATGTCTGCCTATGAGATTTGCATGCAACTAGCTTTGAGCTAACTCTCATCTAAAATTCACGAGTTTAATGTAAACTGTGTTGATATATGTCATCATGCAATTAAAGCCCTTCACCAATAGGAGGGCAACATAGCCTCCATGCACAGTAACTCCCCTTAAACACTTGCACTCGTAATAACTTCATTATTAGATGAGGCAAGAAGACAGTGCACTGGAAGAGGTGAAATTGGATGAGAATGAGTACGAAGCTGAGTATTAGGAAAACTTTAACTTCCAAGACAATACCTCACCTCTTCACACTGAATAGCTAGAATCCTACACTGAGTTGGTGGAGAGATCGATGCAAAGTTAAACCCAGATGAGTTCCCTTCAGAAAGCATCCAAAGGGAAAGCCTATGGAGTGTGGCACCCAATGGCAGGGGCTCCATAGGAGACTGCACCTCATCTCAACCAGGGTATACTCTTCATCCAGAATTTAATTTGGGGAAAGGCAAATAAACCCCAAGTGTTGCAGGTACAGGTGGAATAAGAACATGACCATCTGAGCCCTTTCACACACGTGGTCAGTGAGCCAGTAATTCTAATGTGGTTAGGGCATAATCAGACTGTACTGGGTATGCTCACCTTGACTCAACTGGACAAATTCATTTTACAGAAAGAGGGCACATTAACAGAGTCACCACTGCCCTACTTCTCACCATATTGTGCTAAACCCAATTAGTGAGAAGCTCTTCAAGGACCACCATCCCAGTAGCTAGGAACTGGTAAGTGACAAGGGTCTCCTGTGCTACACTTGAAGAAGGGGGGAGAATTTGCATTAGGAATAGCTAGAGAAGTGCCTAGATCCCCATCTGATGCCTACTAGAAAGGTACTTTATTGGAAACAGTGCAATGAGTGAAACACTATTTGAAAAGCTGGCAAGTGCAAGCCAAAGAAGTGGGCAGTCACTTCCCTGGGCAAGCTTTTCCAAGGTAGTCCACAGAAAGGTAGGGTAATTTTGTTCACCATGAGCCAGGGCAAATGGTCCAAACTCATTCCGTTACCCCTGGCCCAATGTGGATTTTGGAAAATAAGCATAACCTGGGAGGCAACACCAGCCACCTGATGGGATCCTAGTAGATGGAAAAGGAGAGAAAAAGAAAACATACTTACCCATCTCAAAGATAGTGAGTTGATTGAAGAATGGCAACAAAAATAGAAAATCCTGCAAGAGATGAAACAGCCACATGATGAAGATAATGAGCAAAAAATGTGTGGGTAGTTGTCCACATGCCTGCCTCGCAGATCTTGTCCAAGGGCCTTTGAAAATGAGAAGCAAGAGAATGAGACAGGTGACAAATCTGATGCAACGAAATATGAAATAGATTGCAAGCATCAATATTCAGGGAAGAATACACCAACCAGAGAAGTTGATAGACCCATTTAGTAAAGGTAGAAGGTGATAGGTCCCTGGAGGAAGAGGGGTCCCAGGGTAGAAACAGACAAAGTTGGGAACCCCAAAATGGAGAAGTTTGTGCCAAGTAACACTGAACAGCCTAAACTGGACTTAGGAGCTGATCCAGGTCGGAATGAGCATAGAGGTGACAGACAGAAGAAAGGGAGATAGAAGAGAAAAGACAGTCCCCATCCAAAGTAGCTGATGTCTTAGGAAGAAGAGACTGGTCCAAGTAAACAAGTGTGACAGAACAGAGTACGAGAAACATCATGTGCATAGATGTCTGAACAATGTTAATCACAGGCAAGAAGAAGAAGGAAGTAATTCTTAAGAGAAACGTAGTATAAAAAGTAAGAAGACAATGGCTCAAACAGGGCATGTGTGAGAGTGTACAACACCACATTAAAGATCCCAGTCAGGCATAAGAATCAGGCTAGGGGTCAGTGAAGAAGGAAAGGTTGGAAGGAATGGAGAAGACAGAGAAAGAAAACACCCTATGGTAATAGGAAAGACAAAAGGTGGTATATAAGGCCAACTAGTAACAAGTGATGGTGGAGACTAACATATCATGCTCAAACAAACAAGTGAAAAAGACTGAAAGGTGTGTCAGTAGGACGTCTGGGAAAAAGGCAGTAGCAGATGGACCAATGACAAAAAATCTATCACTTTCACTGATAGACAAGGTGGAAGGATGACAGGAATGGGATAAGAATAAGGCTACATAATCAGAGAGTCTGGCCCTAAGGGTGATAAACTGAACAAATCCCACATGTGAAGATGAAGGTATGATACCCCTGGATGAAAAAGTGAGGTGAGAAGTTGAAACAATAGAGAGGGGATACTGGGTAGAGGAAGAGATAGGATGCCAAATAAAGAAGCAGAGGAAATTACGGCTGAGTTGGCCAAAGAGGTACCACTAAGATCATCCAACACAGAGTTTCACATATAAACGACTAGAACCCGAGAGAGGATGATAGGCATACAGAAAAAGGAGAGAGCATTGACAGCCAGAACCAACAAATGAAAAAATTGGGACCAGAAAAGAGGAAGCTTAGAGTTGAGAGGAGTGGCAAAATCATCTATAAGAAGTGTGCCCAACTGAGAGAACACCCAATGAAAAACCTGAGGGTGTAAAGACCACTCTATGAGCAGAACATGGTCCAGCAGAGAGAAGCAATCCACGTGACAAGCAATGAGACAAACCTGATGGAAATGAGCCTAGAAGAGGAAGTACAACACCCAAAAGTGATCCTGAAGTGGGTGCCCCCTTTATAGCTCATATAAAAAACAACAGTAGAATTGTCAGTGTAGATCATGACCAACTGATCCACTAGAAGAGGAAGGAAATAGGCACATGCCTGATGAATAGCGAGAAGTTCAAGCCAGATGTCATGTTGTTGTTCAGAAATGCTCCCCAACCCAAAAAGAAAATATCTGTAAAAATATAGAGATTTGGTAAGGGAATGCCAATCTCAGTATTGGCACAGTCTATCCACCAAGACAGATCCTCAAGAAGAGGAGAAGGGAGGTTCATAATCAAGAACAATAGATCCTGAGAAAGATTCCACTTGTCTTGCAAGGTCCACAGGAGAAGGCACATGTGCACACACCCCAAGAGATTGAGTGGCTCCAGAAGTGAAAGAACCTCTTTTGCAGGATAAAAATGATTAGCTCACAGGCAAAGAGGTGAAGGTTGAGCCCAACTAAGATGAAAGTTGAAGAAAATGCTCAGATGTACTAAATACTGTGTTGGTTGAGAAATGAATTGGAGAGCTTGAGAATCCATCCCAATTAAGCAACCTCATGCAGAAGAAGGGAGGTGTGAGAGAAAGAGACCTCCTGAGAAGGGCAAGTAGAAGCCAATCACCCATGAAGAAATGGAAATGTAGTCCCAGTCCATGGAGGTGACAAGCAAAGGCCCTCATGGCTTGACTGAAGGGGCTGAGAGAATAGCACAGAACTGAAAAAAACTATTTTGATGAACAAATTGTATAGAACATCTGGAGGACATGGCAATTGGATATGTAGAAAGGCATCTGACAAGTTGACTTTGGTCATCCACAGACTGGGTGAAAAGACCACTGTAGAGAAAAGAAATTCTCCATCTGAAACTGTGGAGCCACCAGAAACCAGTTGAGAGACTATATGTCAATAACCAGATGCTAGTCCCCAGACTTCTTGGGGACTCCAAAGAGGCGAGAGTTAAAACCTGGAGAAGGGGTGTATACACTCTCAATTGCATTTATGGTCAGAAGATCCAAAATTGCATCCTCAAGATGTTGAAGATAAAGTGGGTCAGAGGGAGGAGAAAAGAAAACCAGAGGAGGGGAGAGGTGAGAAGAAAAGAGGAATGGAGTGAGAGACCATGGGTGAAATTATTTTCTTGAACAACTCCACACCTGTAACCACACGCCTCATCCTCCTCACCTTCTTAACTCTTTTGTCTTGGCTTACAGCCATTTTTCCTTTCCTTTTTTAGATTTTAAATCTTTGGAATCTGTTTTACCTGCTTGGAGAGCAAATCTCTTGTCTTCTATTTCACTCTCTAGTTCTTAACTTTTACATCTTCATCTTTTTCTCACTACCCTACTGCAATACTTCTCCTCTCTTCACCTTCTTGTCTGAGGCACTTCATTCTGATTCAGAATGGTTTTCTGCAGAGGTTTGCTCCTTTCTTTTTACTACCTTTGTCTGTACCACTTCTTCTATTCTGTCCATCCTTGCTTCCTCTGCTGTTGGGACTTGATAGGTTAGGATGTGCTCCACTTTAATGTCCACCTTCCTCCTTCTTATCTACGTGATCTTGTTGATCTCTTTCTTCACACAGGAGTTTTCATTGGTATTCCTAATTCACTGGAGACCCAGACTGAAGCAGCCTAGCATCAGCCCTCATTATTCTCAACCTTGCCCTTTGACCAAATCAGTCTTCCCTTACCCTTCCCATTACAGCTTTCAGACCTTCTCTGCCCACTTCTCTACGTCAGGTTTGTCGATCATCTTATTGGTGACAATCCTGCTAAGTCAGGCCCAGTGGGTGCCAATTTGTCTCACTTTGCTAACCTTTGGTCACAGTTTGCTGCCAACAGATGGGTTCTTCAGGTCCAGAATGAACTCTAATATCAAATGAAGGAAGAAAGACAAAGTAATCTTTGAGAGATCATATCCTAAAAAAGATTGGAAGGGTGAGGATTTTCCTTGACCAGTAAGGTGATACCCAAGGCAAACCCAGGTGGGGGAAAAAGTCAGTCAAATTTGTTGTCTTCCTCAAACCTATCAGGGAGCCTACAACATGCTGCATGAAAGCTATAATGCCCTCAACAGTCAATGACCCTCCAGAAGCTATAGAAGAAATAAGTCCTGTTTTAGTAATTTCATCACCCTCAAGGACAAAGTCGAAGTCATTGACACTTGCAAATTCATAATAATTTTCAATGCTTTTGAATCAAAAGCTAAGATAGAACTAAACCTAAGTTCCTCTGTACAAATGCAAATCTCAGCATATTGAACACTGACTGAAAAATCAAACATCTGTACAAGACAATGCTGAGGAGAATAATGAAGTTATTTCAAGTGCAAATCTTAAAGGGAGTTACTATGCATGGACATTGTGTCACCTTCCTATTGGAGGAAGGCTTTCATCACATGATGATGTCATCATGCACCAGCACAATTCATGCTACACATGTGAATTTTAGATGAGAATTAGCTCAAGTCTAGTGGCATGCAAATCTCATAGGCAAAGAGTGAAGGATATAGTTATTCTGTGTGAAGAGGTGAGGCATCGTCTCGTTCTTAAGAAGTATGGAATGACTACCAACTCGTTACTGTGTAGTAATATGAAATGATGCATTAAAGAATCTAAATATTGCAAAATATTGTAAAATACAATGAAATTTTTAGTATATCAGTTAAATCCTAAATTGTTAATTACAAAAAAATAGGTTTTAGAGGTAGAAGGAATAACAGACCCTAATAAAGTGAAAGACATGATACAACACAATAAAATTTGGTAATTTTTATTTGGATAAATGCTAGGTAATTTTCGATAAAAGACTGTTAAATGATATTCAAAGCTTACGTCCTGAATAACAGATTGAACTACATAAGATTGTAGTAAAAACAGTTGAATCCACTTTAAAACAAATAATATGTAGCCAAACTTATGTTCAAAAAAAGTCTTCTATCTGTATTTGAATGCCAGTTAAAACTCTGAAGGTTTTTCTATCAGAAAATTTTGTTCTAAGTTAACCTTAATCATAACTTAATCAAATGTACTGCTAATATATTTACTAGTGTTTAATGGTACCAATTTCAAGTTTGATAATTATAGACAGCTATTTTAATAATATTTCCAATTACAGACCAAAAATTAATCCTCAAATATCCATAAAATATACAACATTTATGAGTAAAGAGGGAAGTTGGTTATATTCATCACTAAACTTGTGACGATAATCTAAGATCTATATAAGCATAACACAAATCTTGAACCAGAACAGCCCTAACAAAGGACTTTAAACAGTTTTATGCTTTCCACAGTGCAGAACCTAGTACAAATCATCTTTTTAAACACATCTCATAATTAGCATATGAAGAATTTAAAATGGACTCTACCAATTATTGCAAAGCTTTGTTGGCTCATCCACCTAATTAATAGCATTTAATTTAGATAATTAAATAGCAAATCAAAACTAAGGAAAGTAAGAGAAATTTAAAAACATTTCTAAGGCTTCAAAAATATATTTTGATTATTAAAGAACAGAAAAATTCAGCTGGCAACTGGTTATATTTTATAAAGACTATGTTAAGAAGTGCCTCTGCAAAACATAAAAATCTACTAGACAAATAATAATAATCAAGATACTTAATATAGATGGTAATTTCTTCTCATACTTTTGAACATACTTCAAATTGTTTGAATTCAAATAACACGATTAATGTTTATTGCAACAAACTTCCACAGTTATTGGACAAAAAACAATAATCAACATATTTTTTATACAGTTACAAGAGTTTATGTATTCTAAAAATACATGTTTTTCAATGCAAATTCACTATCTTTTCTTTAATTTGGATATTTCAGTAATTAATATTCAATATTTCACCTTTCAAATATCATTTGAACAAAATTACATTGGCAAAAAAAAAAGGATTTTACAAAAAATCAAAATACTAACTGGTTTCTTTTATATGACAATTTTACGTTTAAATTAACCCATTCAGTTTTTATTTAATCTCAGGTGAAGATTCTATGTTGATTAGAATGTTAATAGAAAAAATAATCAAATGAGAATACATTATTATGTTAGACTTAATCTAACATGAAAAAAACTAATAATATTAGTTTTATGATTAAACAGGCTTTTTTTTTAACTATGCAACATATAAATAGCTAATCAGAAAGGACCACAGTCACCATAAAAAAGTACTTACAGTAACTGGGGAAATGCAAGTAGCTGAGGAAGAGGCAGTTTTTAGAGTCTGGTGTGTTTCTCCCTCTAAGAGTGCCCCCTGCACCTTAAAGCCCCCGTTGTCCTCCAGAATGTGGACCAGTAGTAAGAACAAACACCAAAAACATACATGGCATACCAAGACGTAAACCCATATAGAGCAGTTTAAAGTTACCTTTTTATCGACAATCAAATCACAAGAAACAGTAAGTCTTGCAACCAGAAGAAGTAGAAGGTTTGAAACTTACATTCTATGAAGTTAGTGATATTTTCTTTTCTTTTATTTTGTGGCACTTACATTAACAAAACAATTACTTAAAGATAATGCAATATGAATAATAATATAAGCTGGTAAAACTGGCTTCTAATTTCCAAATGTTACAAAGTCTCTAAAGTTACATGATCTAAATTGAAGATATAGTAATTTCCTTTAAAAATACATTTATGGAAGCATGACCAAAGTTAAGTAGAATTCTACTAAACTGTTATTTTGATTTTACTTTTTAGAAATAAAGAAAACTGCATCTGTAAACAAGCAAAACTGTAAATTAAAATATATGAAAGTTTATATTTTTTACATTTCCACAAGAAATAATGAGAATTAAAGAAAAGCATGGTATTTTTAAATATGATGTGACAATTTTTGTAATAAACTGTTCCTAACATAAATATAAGTTAGTCTTTAATTACAGTTCAAATTTAAAACAAATTACTTTAGAAGATAAATATTTATTAAAAACTAAATGCCTTTTTTCACTTCTTAAAAAATACAAATTATTCTCATAAAACTATTTCTAAAATAAAATCCAATTTACCAATTTGTTACAAGCACATTAAAAGCTCAATTATAATCTACTTTTGTGTGCTACAAGTCAACATACAACATAGTTCAACATACAATCCAGTCTTAGTAAATATAATAAAAAGCATCTCACAGAGTCCAATGTTTTACATCTCTACCAAAAATTAGAGAAATCTATTACTAGATCAAAGTTACTTCAACCAAATCTCATCACAGAGTTAAAAAAAAATCAGCTAAAAAAACTGCTGTGGTACAATGAAATCGAAAACAAAAAAGTGGAAAAACTTATACCAAGAAAAATGGTTAATGTTAAACAGATGCTTTAATATTCACAATGTTTTAGGCTAGGACACCCTTCCTCTGCTGATTTTAAACCTTTAAAGAGGAAGGGCATCCCAGCCCAAAACACTGGTATAAGTTTTTTCCATTTTTTTGTTTTTGATCTCATCACAGAGTTTGTCCAGAAAACAGTACACAGAAAACACAGCTGAAGTTAGTCAACTGGTTAGTCAATCAATCAGGTGATACCATATTTACAATTAAAATTTCTAAGCTGCATTAACATGCTTTGACATCTCACTATAATCACGAGAGGAAGTATTAGAATTGTGGCACTTTCAAAATGATATACTGAAAATTGTTACATCAAAAACTGTTTCTATTCACAAATAGAAAAACTCTGCAAGTTAATGCAAAAAGAAAGAGGTTCGGTTCACGTAACAGATGTGTTTGCAGTTCTCATCAAATGAGACCAATCATTCATAATTTCTATACTTCCCATGATGTGCATTTACGTAATCTTCTACCTGTTGTGTAAAGATTAAGCTATGAAATTACTGTATTTATTACTAGATTATTTCCTTCAAGTACTGAAAATAACTACTGACTTACACAAATAACCAAAAAATAAACCAATTTTCTAAATCAAGTTTTAACCCTAGTTTACCAATGTTGTACCACGCTACTACACCAAGTTTTAGAACCTCATCAAAATTTTCTACACTTACTTACAAGAACCTTGAGAGACATATCTAAAAATATTTTAGGTTTACATAAAAAAGAAAAAACACTGAATCTGATTATTTTTTAAGTATTCTTTGAACCTATAGTCTATTTATGAAACAATTCAGTGTTATGTGAAACACACATCATGCTTTTGTGATATGTGGGTATATCATGTACCATTCCATCATCTCTAGTGATATAGACATTTTTGTGCAGTTTGATTCAATGCAATTTTGGCATGAAAACACTGGTCAAGAAAACAGCTGGAGTTTTTCATCTCAGATATCAGTGCCTTTGCCTACAAAACTTTGGAGATATCCTTTCATTGGCTGAAGGGACAAATTTGGTATGTCACAACTGGAAAACATTGTGAGAGAGTGATCAGTCATGTAGTGATGAAATTATAAGATAAAGAAACCAGGGTTTCCTGCATAAGTAAAAGCTTTAATTTCTAATAGTGCTACTTGGTTTTCACCATGGCTGTTTATGCAGAGATTCAACTCAAGAGAAAAAATGCTGAAGACCTAGTCATTGATCCAATACAGGTAATCATCTATTTTACTATGGAGATATACACACACAGGTTTTTTTTTGTTATTGTGTTTGTAGTAAAGATTGTTTTCACTGTCCTTAAAACATGTCCAATCTGTTTATTTCTCATGCAATGTAAATGCTCAATCAAGTTTTCATATTCAAACAACTCAGCAAATGTCCTGTTCAACTCTCTTGTTATTAGGGGACCTATCGACCTATCGTATACTTGCATGAAAATCAGTGGACGGCAAGAGGTTGGTGCCCAATATAAGGCTGACCCATGAGAGAAAAAGAATATAGTAGTTTCAACAGTTAAAAAGTGTTTCACTAGAAAGCAATAAGGGGCTAGCCATTTGAATCAATTTTACAGAACTAACTTGGTGCATGAGAGGTCTTGAGTTGAAATCCAAGGAAAGGAAACATATTGTGAAAAAAGAAAAAAACACTACACTTTTAATAATAAAGATACATTGTGTAAAATAAACTTCTTTTCAATCTGTATAACTAAGTTTTATTACAATAACACTATGTTTTTGAAGAGGTAGATAAACTGTTTATAAATAAAATAATATAGCAAACAGACTCCCACACCTATAAAAACACATTTCTACTAACTGAAATTCTCACGATGATCAAAATTAGCTGATATACTTTGAAAGAAGTTCTCAACTTGCCGGTGTACAGATTTTTACTGTATGTGAATTAAATGTTTTTGTTACAAATAGTGAATTTGTACACGCACAAAAATTGTGAAAAAATACATAAAATGTCAGTAACATGACAAGTATATAATAGACTACATTCTAGAGTATTTGCATATGTATATTCAGAAACTGTTAATTTAACTGATCAACATAAATATGTCTCATTTACATTTTACTTTGCTTATTAATACAATCATTTCCTTGCCAAAGAACACTGCATATCAGCATATGGTTTTTGTGCAACTTACTGATGCAAATTAAGCAGTTTATATGCTAAAATAGTTTATTCTCAGTAATTGAAAAATTATAAATTTAAAAAATACAATTAGAAATAAATATTTTTAAATGAATTTTGAAAGTAATAGTTTCCTGTTGCTAAATGTCTATGGTTAAGAAATCAAAACACAAAGTAATTAAGTGCTGTCTAATTTTCAAGACAGAACTATCATACATATGTTTTGTCACTTTTTCATCTAATTGTAAGTTGTAGAAAACTTGAGTTTCAGCCGAGGAGTTGAGCAGCCTTAAATACATTTTTTTTTTGCAAAAAGATATATAGAAATATGCATGAATAAAAAATATGCCAGCTGATTCCAACACTTAAAAAAATATATACATATAGTTCTACTTTCACTTGACTTAGATGAGCTGATAAGAGAGATATGCTTTAAAAGTATAATTCTCAGCTAGTCATTGTACAATTTGATTACCTAATACAAACAACAAAGTTGTTCTATTACAATTACAATGTAGTGTTACAGAAAGTATGCGTTAAAAGCCATTCAACTGGAACTTACTTTAGTGAGCTTTCCTTAACTCTTTTAAACTCATATTTTTTTTGCACATTCTGCAGGAATTAGTTTCATGTTGTCCTAATAATTATCACCCTACCTTATAAAATTTCTGGTCTATTTATAAAAGGTGGATAATAACATGATTTGGATTAGTTTTCAACCAAAAAGATATAAATGTTATTGGATGCTATCACTATCCAATGGGTAAATTGAAATTTTCGGTCAGACACTACAGCATCCGCTTGGGTTTAAGGGGTTAAGTCAGTTACTTCCTTAATACAAATCTTCTCTTGGTGGTCTTAGCAGACACAGTGTTTGTGATTTGGCCTCACAACCTAAGTATTTTATCCAAGGACAAGCTGAGAAAATCCACATCACAGTTTCATGAAAGCAATAAAGAATTCCTTTTATTTAGAAAAAAAGGTGTAGACTGAAAATAAAAGATAATTTCAAGGCTCTCTTAACTTACTGTGGCTGGGGAGGCACGTGTGGCATGAGCAAGAGGGTTTCCATCGCTATCAATAGCAGTATGTTGAACTAAGTATGTGCCACCAGTTTGATGGGCTAAAAGTTGACCCTGGATACCAACTGCATTGGCACTAACTGTGCTTCCAACCTACATAATCAGTCACTAATAATTACAGCATGTCACGGCAGTAATAATTTAAAATAAGTACACTCTCATCTTCAGTTAAATAATTTGAAAACTTCATCATAATACAGTTTAAAACCTAAAAATTAAACTAATTCATAAGTATTTGTATCGTGTTCTAATTTCTTTAATAAATAAGACTATCCTTATAAGATTGCTAGTAACATCCACAAGGCATATAGCTACTGTAAATTATAAAACACCACACCTATATAAATATAATATTACTGTCTGTTGTCTGTCCATTTAACTACTTCACAGGATGTGAATGGAGCTTCACCAAAATTGGTATGGAGGTTCATTAGGGCCATGCAGGGGTACATACAAATTTTCAATTTTGCATTTTTTGGTTTTTATGGCCATTTTTGTGTTTTTTACCACTTCCTCACCTCCTGTGAATGGATCTTTACCAAATTTGGTATGGAGGTTCATTGGGACTATGGGGAGATATATACAAATTTTCAGTTTTGCAATTTGCATTTTGCAGTTTTTATGGGTGTTTTTGCATTTTTTACTACTACTTTGCCTCCTGTAGTTGGATCTTCACCAAATTCAGTATGAAGGTTCATTGGGTCCTTGGGGAGATGCATACAAATTTTAAGTTTTGCATTTTGTTGTTCTTATGGGCAATTTTTACCACTACTTTGCACCCTGTTGATGGATCTTCACTAAATTTGGCATAAAGGTTTGTTGGATCCACATGAAAATACGTGCAAAATTGTGGTTTCATGTTTTGTATTTTGCGATGGGCATTTTTTACAATTACATATAAAGGAAGCAACTTTTCATGTCCTAAGATAACCTCTCATTAATCATGAATTTACATAACTTCCATCCAAATGATGGGTACTCCAGCTAATTACTGCAGTATACACATGTATATAATATACTGTACATTAGAAAACACAACAACAGTATAATATCCACATGACACATAGTTCCTTTTCTTTCTATAATGTTAGTTTCATTAACAATATTGGTTAAATTAATATACATAATATATTTATTTCATTTTTTTCTTCACAAAGTGGATTACTTTTCAGTATGAGCTTAATATATGAATTTAGGACTAGTATAAATCTCATAAACTGGCCAAATTTTGTGAAATATTACTGGGATTAAGGCTGTAAATATTGCTAAAAGAAAAGGTTCCTATCTGGCTAATCAATGCATTGTAATCAACATAAGTAATAATAGTATATTAACTTTGCTATATTCATTACCAGGTTAATTTCTAGTTTTGATCTATGAAGGTAGTTTGCTTTGATAAGAAGTTAATGATAATTACATGAAAAAGCAGCACATCACTATAACATCCATGTGATATCCAGCTACTTTGGATGAAAAACACCACATCACTGTAACAACCACATGATATATAGCTACTGTACATAATAAAACACCAGATCACTGTAACATCCACGTGATATATAGCTACTGTACATTATAGAACACCACATCACTGTAACATCCACATGATATATATCTACTGTACATTATAAAACACCAGATCACTGTTACATCCACGTGATATATAGCTACTGTACATTATAAAACACCAGATCACTGTAACATCCAAGTGATATATAGCTACTGTACATCATAAAACATCAGATCACTGTAACATCCACATGATATATATCTACTGTACATTATAAAACACTAGATCACTGTAACCTCCACGTGATATATAGCTACTGTACATCATAAAACACCAGA